CTGTTTAATTGGAGCATTCTCCAGTGGGACTTCTGATTATGTTTTGTTCTAATGGAGATCTCCCCAAACCTGGAGAAGGGCAGTGGCTTTGCCAGTTATTCTGAAGGCACTTGTCCTTCTCCTTGAGAGTCAATAAATACCATACTGTACCTTCTTTAAGTTTTCTAAGTGGCTGTCCCAGTGGAAGTGGGTGTGTGCTTAAAATACAGATGTAAACCATTTTAAAGTCCTTTGCTGACATTTCTGCTTTAAAGAGTTAATAGGTTCTACCTGCTAGTATTGTTTCTCCTCTGGCACTTCCAGTGCTGGAAAATTATGCCTTTGTAACAGAAATGATTAGTCTCAAATGGGGCACAGTGGCAAGTGTGCTGCAAGTGCTGAAGCTGTTTTGTTTGCTGTGCAAAGGTAATGATCTTGATTACCTGGCTGCATTTTCTTTGGAATGGTCAAATGCTACTAATCTTATAGCTTAGTTTTTAAGAAATAGTTGTGCATTAATGGGAAGGGCAAAGAAGTATCACAGTATATGTGCATCTGTTTCTTGCTTATTATAATTTTGAAAAAGCATTGATTGGTCTAAAATACATTAAATGTGAAATTCCAAAGCGAAGGCCAAGTCTCAGCCATTGACTACACAGGTATGGTAAATGAGGACATGCTGACCCAAGCTCAGCTATACAGCATCCCTGACAAGATAGCGTAATGTTCTAGAGGAAAAGCAGATTTCTTGGAAAGACTGTAATCCAACAAACAAACAGAATTGTATGCCAGGTCACTGGTCATGGTCCATGTCCTAGCACCTCACTGAAATTGTTTCCCTCACCACCTTCCCATTTACTGGGTCAAGAGTAAAATATAATTGGTTTTATGAAAAGTGAGAAATGTTTAATCACAGTCCTTGCACTTCCTTTAGCTTCATGAATGCACGCACACGCAGGATATGTGGTTATTATGACATCTACTTTTACAGTGACTTAATGCTTCTTAATGTTTTTCAATTTGCATATTTAAATCCTGATCAATGTAAAGGCATGCCGCCCCTTTTTTCCCCACGAATTCAAAGGTATGGATGTCTCCTGAGAGAAACAAAAGCACTGATGTTCCTTTGTATGAATAAGGAAGGCCTCCATTGTTAAAACAGTAATCTAACCTTTTTTTTTTCTTTTGGGTGGTGTGACCAATACTAAAGATGAATGACAACTGTGCATTTTCAAAAGGAGGTCTGTCTGAACCAAAGGTCTGTTTTGGCAAAGCTGGCTTTTACCAAGTCAAGAAGATTAGTGTTGAGTCAAAATAGGCAATTCCTCACTGCAATGTGACAACTGTAATACTCATTCTCTTATGAAATTATTGCCAAATTGCAGTTGCAGCATGTCTTACTTTCCTATTATTTTGTGAGGAAATTTTTTTTATGTTGAATTATGATCACTTTGCCACTGTGCTGTGAGGAGTTTTGTATTGGAAAGATGTGGGTTCGAGTCAAGGGATCCAAATACAAACTGTACTTCTGGTGTTGTAGCATGCAGTTTGGGGTGGAGGGAAGATGTGTCGACCTGCTGAGAAACCAGTATGAAAAAACACCTGGTGAAAAACACTTGGAGACAGGAAGAAGAGAGTGAGCTGTGTTGAGAGAGAAAAACAGAGTCTGTAAACACAAATACTTCCTCTGGATTTTTGGTGTCTCTTTTTTATTTTATGAGACATTTGTTCATATTGTATGTGGCATGGGTGACATCATTAAATGTAGTCAAATATGTAAACTTAAGAATGCTAGGAGTGTGTTTTGGGTAAATTCTTTGGAGCGTAGACTGTTGCCAACAGCAGTTTCTAACCTGAAGACCGTGGAAATTGATTCAGATACCTTTCTTGCAAATTAGGAAGTAGCTCCCAAATTTTCTCCATAGGCCTTATCTGTAGTAAGGGGTAGTAAGCATGATCAGCAGTTTCCCTGTACAGGAGCCATTTTGACAGAAAATAGAGTATCTCTTGTTTGAGGCCAGTGTAAGCCTCCAGGTTGGTGTGGCATTTAAGAGCCAGCTCAGAGGGGCTTCCACTGACCAGCATCAGAGTCAAATAGGAAGAATATCCTCCAGGTTCCTGCCAGTTGGTGTGTGATAAAAGTCTGGGCACAAGCTAATGTTTTCCTCAAACTTTTCAATACTAGGAGCAGGACAGGAACCAGTGAATTGAAAGAGCCAGAATGTAGCAGATGTTAGGGGAGGGGAAAGGTATTTAGGGATCAGGAGTAGGAAGAAATATGAATACAGGCAAATGCACCACACTTGGAGGCAGTGGGGAAGAGAAGGGAAAAAAAATAATACAAAACTCCCCCACCAAAAAACAAACCAACTGAAAAGACCTAGAAACACAAATAGACTGAAGAGCGTGGGGTCATTGGCATTATGCGTCCTTCTCACAGATATTAGGCTTTGTAGCACTGCAGGAGCTGAGCCTGAAGCTCTTTTTGTTCCCTTTTCTTCTCCTGGGGGAGTTTTGTCTTACAATCCTCTTCCTGCAGGGAATCGGGCAGCCATGGAAACTGTGCAAGATCTCAGATGTGCTTGCAGCTTTCTCTGAAGTCATTGGGAGCATGGTGTGGTTGAGCTCTGTTGAAATTTTAAGTCGTTTGTGTGGGGTTTGTTTGAAATACACTTGTCCTTGTGCTTCATTTACATAAAAATAGCCTGGGCTTCAGAGGCAATGGCTGCTAACAATGTAGTTAGGCTTGACATCGTTTTCCACTTTAAACCACAGAAGTTTTTAAAGAATTTTGATACTTTGGGTTCTGTTTGCCCTCTACTGCCTCATAGATGTATCCTGTGCATAGTGGAGCTTCTGAAGGAGGCAGGTGAATTCTTTTGCCTCTAGTGGTGTTTCTGAGATGTGGAAAAAGAAAAGGCCGCTCTTTTTTTTTTTTTAAGGGGTATAGTGGAGTCAGTGTTCAAGGGGCCTCTGGTGGTCTAGTGGTTAGGGTGCAGGACTCTCACCGCTGCGACCCGGGTTCGATTCCCAGCCCCCCGGGCAGATGGAGCTCGTTAGCCTTGTAAGGCAATCCATCTAAGAGAAGGTCACTCTAAACAAACCTACGTCCTGAGACCCTCACTGCCACTGTCCAAGCTTGCTCGGCCCCGGCAGATGAACCTCAGGATTAAAGGGTGGGCTCAGTTCAGCGCACGCTGTGTCTCACCTAAAAAATCCACTGCGCAGGCTCGAAGGGTTAATGACCTTTCCCAAATCTTCGCTCGCGAAGACTGGCCATTATTATTAGTGAGTGTTCTGCCTTGCTGGATGATTGAAATACTTAACCAGATGTGATTATGATATTCTACTTTGCTTTTCCTTCAGTCTGAAAACACTGGGAATCTGGTTACAGATTTTATTAGATGCTGAGACATAAAGTGTCTCTGTAGTGCCCTCAAGTGATACTTGATTTTGAAAATAAATAAGCAGTCGCACCTTAACTATTTCCCAAGGCTTTCTAATGTGCCTCATCTTCTGCTTCATTTTGCAGATTGCGAGAAATGTAGTTGTACTGAATAATTGATGCTTAATAAGAACCAGTTGTAATTTGACTTGTTTTGGATGGTGAAGTGTGCTGACAAGTGTGTCTAAAGAAAACCAGACGATTTCATTTAAAAAAAAGATTTTAAAAAATTGGCCTTATTCACTCCCGTGGCAAGTTTCAGACACTTAAATCCGAAACCCAGAACACTTGCTGTACAGTATTTAACTAGTGTGCAGTAATAAACTGCAGTAATGTAGTCTCTCTCTGTTCTGAACTGTAACATATCATATTTTGTTGTGGTTTTCAGATTTTTTTGATATTAATTCCCCATTCCACATTGGTCTTTAATAGCAGGAGACTTGTAACCTTAAGGATCAAGCTGTTACTCCTATGCTGTGGCTTACCTGAGTTACTTTAGGAATGAATATGATGTAATAGCCTGGTCCCTGGGTATCCATTTTGCATTCTTAGCAAGAGAGTCCTTGAATATGAGAATTTTACTTTCCTGGGAGAACCAGCTGCGTTTTTATTCTCTCTTTTTTTTAGCCTGTCATGAGGATTGCATAGTCTAAGCATATTCTCACAATCTCTTGTAGTGTATAAGGCGCATTCTTAATGAGCACATGAACTGTTGCGAAACAGTACTTTCAGATGACTTCATGCTTCTGTCAAAGTTCAAGCTGATGAAGGGACAGCTGATTTAGAGAAAAATCTTTGCATTTGAAAATTGCCACTAGACATCCTAAGGGTATTTATGCCTGCCATGCTATATAGTCTCGGGGAGATGTTTCCAAAGTGGTGGTACGTGTGATATGTCAACACAAATTAGTTTTCCCTTAGAACTCCCTAAACAGAACAAATTTTCTACTGTAACAAAATTACTAAAGTACTTGCTGTAAAAATATCTTATTCCTATCAAACTGCACAAAACTCGTGTTTACTGGTTATCTGAGATCTAGATGTGTTTGAGAATGGGTTACATCATCAGGAGTACTTCTGATGGATTCTGAGTGTGGAAGTATGTGTTTACGAAATACATGTCTTACTAATGTACTTCTTTGGTTCCTATAACATGAAGCTGGAAGATACATAATTCTCATTCATAGAAAACCCCTTCTGATACAAAAATTAGTAGGAAAACTTGGTTCATGTTCTTCTGTAACTTTATGTGGATTCTTTTTTGCCTTTTACTGATGTTCCTGTCTGATGACCCATACATTGGGAACTCTGGATGCCTAATACAAAAATCCTACTAATGCCTCTTAATTGAGAAGGCTGACTTGGTACCATCTTTCAGCTTTTTCAGATTGACCACACTAGCCCCAAGCACCTGCATGGGGAATTACCAGTCTGCCTGGTGTTAAGTGTAGCTGTAGTTAAGCAAACCGGGTAGCCTTTGAGGGGAGAGAAAGTATATGGTCTATAAATTTGCAATTAGTCACTGGCTGCTGCGTTTTTAATAGAAAACATAATTTAGCGTTTTTTTTAAAATCAGGTGCTCTGTGGATGTGTATAGTCTTAAATCCCCACTGCAAGTTGGAGCAGAAGTCCAGTTGGCTAAAACAACTGAAAAAATGGAACAGTGTGGATGTTTGTCCCTGGGAAGATGGAAGCCATGGAAACGAGCTACCCAATTTAACCAATGCTTCGCCTCAGGGTGCAAATGCCAACCAAGGTGAGCCTAAACGTATGCACCAACTGCAACATACAATATAACTTCTACCTTATATACTCTAGCCTTGTAGAATTCAGCACTCTTTCCTAGGACAAATCACTTTCTTGTTGAGGACTGACCAAGCAAAATTAGTTTTACTAATACTGTCTTTGCAGAAGAACAAATAAGTGGGTTTTTTATTGTACTGGGGCTGCAACATTTTCAAAGCAAGCATTTGTGTTTAGTTAAGTCTTCTAACTTTTCACTTGGTGCTTCTAAATACTGTTGCATAAAAATTGGATGTCTTTGAAATATGTTGTGTAACAACATGTTTCTTTGCTTGACTATAATCTCATATTCC